TATTATTATTAGTAGTATTATTATTATTATTATTATTATTATTATTATAGTTATATATGATAAGAACGAAGTAACATGAATGATAGATATAAAAATTGGACAGAATTGATTTAATGAGAATTTTAAATTCTCAGATGATCGTCGTCGTCATCGATCTGATCTGATTCGAACGAATGCAATCAATGTAAAACCATAGACCCGTATCGATTCATTTGCACATTCAATTATCTAAGCGCAGCATTATCATTGATTACACGTACGGGTTTTGCATTATTTTAGAGTGAAGCTGCTGCCTAATAAAGCCATTTAAAGAGGGTGATTGATATAGAGATATAGGTATTTAGATGTCATTTGATTAGTGTTATTATGATTATGATTATTGTTAGCGTTTTATTAAATGATTTAAGCTTAGGCTTAACACGATAGAACCTGATTTGATATGATCGATCGGATCATCTGATTTCAGTGAGCTATACTCCTTATGATAATTATCGTTTATGTAAGAATGATGTGTAGTGACTAGAATATGAAAGATTATAGTGCATCAGATTTATTTGTAAGGTAGTAATAGTAATGATAGTATAAGTTCTAATTATAATAATGATAATGATAATGATCATAATAATAACGATGATAGATCAATAACGAGCAGGATAATGATAAGGTGATCATGAAGATGAAGAGCCAAAATTTGGTAGAGCTATTGGGCATGCAGTTCATTCAGCTCGGAACGGAGTCGAGTGGAATCGAGTGCAGCGGATGATTAGATAGAGTGATAGAGGGGAATAGTTAGGTGATGTGATGTGATAAGACGTGAAGAAGATAGTGTATCAGCACGACACACCTAATGACAATAACAATACAATAGAATGGAGAATGACGATGGTTTGTTCGTTGAATTTATTATATATATGTATGTATGTGTGGTATGTGCGTGTGTGTGTATGTGTATGTTTGTGTAATTGTGGTGAAAGATCATTTAATAGTCTTCAGGGAAAGATTATTTTCTAGTTTTTGATCATTCGATGTCGATCACCATGCCATCCATATAAACGCCGCCATGCCATCGATTCATCGGAACAACCAACGTGAATACGCAGCAGTGAATACTCTAGTAGAGTAAGTGGATACTAGTAAGTAAGTAAGAAAGAATTAAGTAAGTAGATAATGAGTAGTAAGTATTTGGATGATAGTGTAAGTATTGAAAGTAGGCAATATAGTAAGGAGTAGATAGCAAAATGAATTGGTTACTTCAGTTCAACGTTGATCTGGATGGATGGATGGGATGGGATGGGATGATAGAATGTTTCGAATTGAATTGTATGTAATAGGTATGTTTGACTTTATGCGGCGGCGAAAGTTTATTTGGATTGGATAACGTCATCATCCAATCATCGATATATCTATCTATCTATCTGAAGTGTTTGTAGTTTTACGATTATGATCAAATTGATCAAAGTATATTGCGGGAAAGCGAAAAGAAATGAAAAAAATATCTGTGGACACGATTAGCTTCATGTGACCGTATTCGATGAGCTAGCTACTAGCTTCCTGGCAGCAGATTATGCTTGTTTGAGTGCGCAAACCTCCTCAAAAGACTGTTGTTTAATGTTATACGACGATAGAAGGAAATGCTGCTGCTGCTGCTGTTGTTGCGCTGACAGCTGAAGTACTCACTGGTGATGATCATGATCAGATTGGTGATTGATCATCCATTGGACGGACGGATGGGATGGATTGTTTGCAGACACAATACAAACAGCGAACACCACAAGGACAATGTCAAAAAAAATTCACTGTTTCAATTCCACATCCAAACAAGTTTAGCTACCTAAAATGAGTAGTTTGCTATATGCATGTTTAAATTTACCTACACATCATAAATAGTTACAGAAAGCAGTATTATATTGTTATTATTACTGTTCTTGTTATTGTATTACTGATGAAACTGCGCAAAAATAAATGTAACTATCTTCAAGCACATGTTATAAGTATGTAGAACAAGCGCAAACAAGCAGAATTAAGTCAAAATAAATAATGTCAATTGATTGGAAACTGAACGAATAAATTTTAGCAGCTGATAAAACAAATAAACAAATACATCAATCAGATAAGATCGATGGATGGCATTTTGCGTATTGCAAACAGTAATAACTATGATAGTAATATAGTAATAATGATATTGAACGCAGTAATAGGAGTGATAGTAATCAAAAAAATAATATTTTTAGATGAATAGACATGACTTATTGCTAAAAGAAATACGAAGAACTTAAAGTCTCCGTAAAGAAGTCAGTCAATCGCTCCTCGTCAAGACTGCTCGGTACCATCGAGAAATACATACATATGTATATCGTCAGTAAGTATTATATATATGAGTAAGCAGTGTTAGTGTTGCATGTAAAGAATGTGTTTTGATTAACCTCGATAAACATATACACCTTGGAATAATTGGTTGGTTGTGTGGAGTGTTGTGGTTGGGTGGTGTGGTGTTCGATGGTGTCGCTCGCTTGATTTCTCAGTTTCATTTAAGACTGAATTGGTGGACGGTGAATTGATAGTTGATGATGAGAAGAGTCGTCAGAAGTTTTTTTTTGAGTTGATTTCTAGCTTTGAGTTGTTGCCGTTGAGTAGGAAACACTTCAAGTGAACTGAATGAATGAACATAAACATGAAATTGAAGTGGAAATTCAATTTTGAACTGAACTGCATGAAATATTTCTGAGTTTTGCACACTAGACGGACGGATAACTTGGCATAGGTGCGTGCATTCATCCATAGTTGTAGTTGAATATTTCTAAAGCTCCCCTAAATTTGTGTGTGTGTACTTTTTGCTGTGTTTAAATGGGGTAGTTTGTTTGTTTTGGTGATTCATTGAAGATTGAAGTGCTACTTGGTGCTAATGTTTTGATGATTTACGGCACTGAAGATTATTATGCGAATGACGGACGGTGAATGGCTGACTGAGTTCATAGAACATAAAACAAATCCATTGTAGAATGGAACGGATATCATTTAGCCGTTTTCAAAGCATCCGCAAATGAGTCTGAGTCCCACAACGAACAAACGGCAAAAGGGCGGCGCAATTTACGTAGTTGCGAACTGAAGACGAATTTCGTTAATGATATCTTTTTGAATATTGCTAATAGCATTTATATGGTGGTTATGTTGTGCAATTTCTAATTAACTTCGGTTTTTAATTAATTAAACGCCGTCTAATTAGCTTAATTTTTGTTGAGTAACGAATTTTATTACGTCTTAATTTTGATGCGATCATTTGATTTTGCTGCTTTCATCGGTTTTCGATCAGCTGATCAGCAGCATGCGCTATGAATACGTTTTCGAGTGGATTGTAACGAGTGTTATTGGTGATAGAATCGTGCAATAGAATAGGGCTTTATGAAACTTGAGAGTGCACGGAGGAGGCTTTCATCCCGACGTTGAAAGTTCCAAGTAATCTTTGCCAAAAAAAAATTATCATTTCAGTTTTGTGAAAAAAAAAATCCTATCCTCACTATTATCATATTACACACTATTATCATATTTCTGTTCTTATCTCACCGAAATAGTGTCATCTGTAAACGAGATCGATGATCTTAAGCGAACGCCATCGATCGATATTGATCTGTGTTGCACAACTTTAACAAAATTTTCAGCAAGACCGCAAACGAACAAGCAAATGGATGACCATATCAATCATCAACAACCAGAGCCGGCTGTGAATCCTGCTGCTGCTGCTGCTGCTGTTGATGATAATGGTGATTTATCAATGCATGGCACGTCATTGATAAAAACTCATCGAGATGATAATGATTCGTCGATTCGTACCACCACAGCCAATCCGGCTCCTTCTACTATTGCACTGAGCCGAGCCGTCGATATGGGCACAAGCAGCGGCATATCGTCTGCATTCGTCGCATCTACGACACACCATTCCATGAGACCAACAATAACAGCAATTGATGAGGAATCAGGTTTGTGTGATTTGGAAGAATTTTTTGTGCGAAAATGCTTCTTGATTTGAGTTTTTTTTTTGAGTTGAGTGAAAATTTTGGCACCGAAATGAAAGTAGCATTGATATTTTGGAATGCAGAAGAGCGCGAATACGATGGTGATGAGGACGAGCTGGAACGTCCGCTACTAGAGCAAGAGGATGGACTGGATAGTGGTCGTGGTGGTGGAGGATTAGCCATAGGCAAAAGACTGAAATCATCGGCGAAGAAACGCCTTGTAAGGGTTCGTTTCGAATAATTAGTTGTTTTTCAAAATTTTAAATTTTTTGAATGAATATTTTTCGAAATGTTTAAAGAAGAAAAGAAGTATGGAACGCACACCGCTTTTGGCAGCACGTTCGCAGAGTATCAGTACAGCGACCGATGGTGGAGGGGAGGGTGATTCGTCAGGTGGAGTGAGTCAAATTGGTCGTTTCTCTGCGTCGGATGATGAGGATGCAGCCAGAATGTGTGAGTTTCTGTGGTTATTTTATTATTGTTTTTAGTATGTTGTTGTTT